TGATGTAAAAATGTAATAATAATGTAATTTACGGTCAGACCAATTGCCAGAGCTGCCGCGGTCTTTTATGTCTAATAAAAAAAAAAAAAAACAATATTTCTAAGCTGATGCAACTCATCTAAATTTAATTCCGACTGTCCAGATACTATATAGGAATTATTTATATTTTTACTGTAGCCATATAATATGTATTATTAAGATACAAATAGGTATTACCTAAGTACCTAAAGGTATGCATATTATGCACATAACATATAAATATAATAATACATTCAACCGTCGTCGTTCATAATATATAATATCCCGAATGACATCATGTAAATAATAATAAATACGGAAATTCTACAATACTCAAGTACCTATCCGCCGGCCCCACGGGCACTAGACAAATTCAATATGAAAAATATTACTTACCTAGTTAATGCTGCTTGTGACTCCTATAAATATGAAATACCCACGACCACTAGGTACTTGTGTAGGTACCTATATAATACAAATTAAATAAAACTACATTATAAAATATATTTCTTCGAATTGTCCTATTTACTACAACATAATAATATGATAAATAATCAACTAATATTTCATTCTTGAAGAGTACTTTTCTTCTTCATACCTTTAGGCTCACCGCTGTCCGCTCACATAGGTATATATAATATTTGACATTTGTTAGTATTGTTAGACTAGTATGAGTTTTCTTCGAGGAAACTGCCTGAATATTATCCTATTTAAATTGTTAATAATATTATATTAATACCGATACTAGAGAATACTAGATTTATCTCATCTCAAGGTCATCAATCATCAATGCCACGTACGTAGGTCGTATGTATATGCCATGCACCGACTTTAGGTAGGTAGGTATTAGGTACATTGTTATTTTCCCTACAATATCCTTTGGGGTAGGAGTAGGTCAGGGATGGCAAATCCAAGGTGGTACCCGAAAAAAATTTGAGGGCATGCGAAAAATTAAAATATTTATATTAGGTACATTATTTTTATTTTTAATAATAAATGACACCACATTATCTCAATGTTAGTACATTTTCAGTATCGTTGACGTCTTTCAAAAAAGATTAAAAAAATTTTAATTTGTTAACGAATTTTACGATAATTTTTTCTTATAATTTTGAATTTAATATAATACCTAGTATATATTCATTATATATAATATTTTTAATTTAATGGCACGGTCGAAAAAAAAAGCAATTTCTGTGTACCTAATATAGTAAAAATAACATCATTTTGCTGTGCTACTATAGTAAGTGCTATACCTACCTAATCTATAAAAATATGGAATCCTTTAATGGCATAGTGTACACATGTTGTAACTTGTAAGTGACATTTTCGTAATTGTTCAGGAGAACGACAATAAATTGTGATTTAATATCTCGCAGATTACATGCACTACAAAAAACGCGCCGACCTCTAGCAGACGATGTACTACACACTTACAACATTTATACACAATATGTAGAAAGTTGTCAACAAGACAACCAATGAAAAACTCATTTTTCCGAATTTTGCACTTACAACATGTGTGCACTATGCCATCGAATTATATTAGTATATTACTCACATTTATTTAATTTTTTTTTTATTGATCATTAAGCCCGGGTACTATGGCCACCATTAGCTGTTTGTTTGTAAACACGTGTGTTTGGTTTTGGCAGAATTTCAGATTGGGCATCCGTAGGTTTCTGCCATGCCCGGTCGGGGGATGGCAGCCTCTCTCCAGACAGTTGCCTGCCCAGTGAGAAAAGCCGCCCTTGGTCGAGATTCGAACCGGCGACGGTATAAATGTATAATCCTCTCGGCCACTCCGTCCCCCTCACATTTATTATTTATAATGTATATAAAACACGTTTATGTTACAAATCAATAGGTGATCAATATAATTCTTATGATATTATTTGTACATTAATAAACTTATTCACAGATAATTGTATACCTTATATGGTAGTTAGTAGTTTACCTACCTACTCAGTGGCGCCGATCACCTAATTTATCTACATGGGCACCAGGGGGCCATTGCCCCCCTGGGAATTTTTAACGGCATGTACTTTAATATCAATATTGCTATAACTAATATTAGATTAGGTATAAGTAATTTTTATCTTGCCTGGGGTGGGATTGTATCCTGCTGACACACTTGTTTATCTATGACAAAATGTCTTAGCAGACTTTTTAGACGGGGTAGGGGGCGACTGGGAGAAAGATGCCAAAGCTGGCTTAACATACACAGAGTTGAGTATAATGAATTCTGGATGATATTGAGGTTCAAATTCAAAATTATACCTAGGTACAAATCGTTAAATACAGTGTGTAAACGGTAATCGAGAACACTCAATATCTTTACGTAGAGACCTGCTATTTGAATTCCGTTTTTTTGGCAGTTGTTATGACATAAAAATACACATTTTTATGGTCTTTGAATTTTTTTTACTTAATTAGTCACGCGCATGCGCATGTCAACTTTTTTTTTTTAAATGGCAACCCCCTGCTTTGACCACTACTTATTTTTCGCCTATTTTTTTAATGAATTTTGGTAGTTGAATCAACTTTCTAAGTCCAAAATTGACCAAGTTACAGCCAATCAAAAAAAGAAAAAATTAGAAAAAAAAATGCCCTCGATTTTCAGCTTTTTGATTGTAACTCTGAAAATAATTATTTTAGGATTGTTAAACATTGACATTTTTGTAACTATTTATTACGGTGATATTCATACGTTATTTTAACTTCAATTACTGAATAATTTTCTCGCGCTGAATCATGTTTTGTTCAAGGCAGAGAACAGTTTGAACAATTTATTCGTTAGATTTTTTTTTTTTTTTTTAGATTTTTATTAACTAAATAAATTGGTAACTTAAATAAGAATTGAATTTGTTATTAATTAATAATTATTAATACGTTCTAATAGATCCATTAAATGTAAAGAAATAAACAACATACTAATTTACGTTTTTTCTGCTATAATAAGTTATATGATTTATTACACAAATTAAAGAGAAAATTATTCAGTAGGTAATTGAAGTTAAAATAACTTATGAATATCATCGTAATAAATAGTTACAAAAATGTCAATGTTTAACAATCCTAAAATAATTATTTTCAGAGTTAAAATCAAAAAGCTGAAAATCGAGCGCATTTTTTTTCTAATTTTTTCTTTTTTCTGATTGGCTGTAACTTGGTCAGTTTTGGACTTAGAAAGTTGATTCAACTACCAAAATTCATTAAAAAAATAGGAAAAAAATAAGCAGTGGTCAAAGCAGGGGGTTGCCATTAAAAAAAAAAAGTTGACATGCGCATGCGCGTGACTAATTAAGTAAAAAAAATTCAAAGACCATAAAAATGTGTATTTTTATGTCATAACAACTGCCAAAAAAACGGAATTCAAATAGCAGGTCTCTACGCAAAGATATTGAGTGTTCTCGATTACCGTTTACACACTGTATACCTACAGGCTACAGTATTGACAAACATAACTCAAACCTATAAGTATCAAAACAGACAATAATTAAATATATTAAGAGGATGTAACACCCGCATGTGTTGCCTCCGTCTTACAAATGTACAACATACCAAAAACTGATTTGCGAGGGACAACTATTATCTTTCTGTGTTTGTAGTAATGGCTCCAAAATTCCTGAACATATAGGGTGAACAATTATCTATGCAACAACCAAGTGACCATATTTTAGATAACATAAATACAATAAGTTATATGCTTCTAAACATTTTGTTTTTTTTTCATTTGCTTATAAAAAAATGATTGGATAGTGCTATTAAAAAAAAAGGAGCAAGCTGTTGCACTGATAAATTTTTTCTTTACGTGTTGTGAAAATTTGAGTTCTACAACAAATATGGGGCGAGAAAGTTGTCCTGCGCAAAACAGTTTTAGCTATGCTGTACATTTGTAAGATGGAGACAACACATGCGGGTGTAACATCCTCTTAATTTTAAAACATAGAATTCTATTCACAATGTTAATTTTGCTTAGTGTTCCAGTATATTTAAATATGAATTATGCAATGGGCAATAGCCAATAATTGCTTAAAAATTAAACCCCAAAATGTCAGCCTTTTTTTATAATTCTTTAAGCGAGAAAATGCTATGAAGTTTAATGGTATGAATGGAACATATAATAAAACTATGAATGAGTTTTTATCACAGAATTTGAGATTAGAGCATTTTCATTTTGAACTTTAATAAAATGTTTTGTTATTTTTGAAAGACCACTTAAACTACTCATAGCGTAGCTTGATGAATTTATACATGGGGGCTATTATAGCAGTATAGTCTATTATGTTTCTGGTACACAACATATTATATTCTAAAAATGCAACTAAAAAAATGGATGGAGGGCTAAACAAAATTCCTGAGGGGCTATAGCTCCTCCTCCATTCTATACCAATGCAACTACTATTAGTTTAACATGATAATTCAGTTTATCATCAACTACAAAGTACCAACGGAAAACTAGACACAAATAAAATAACAGTTTTATGTTTTATTAAAAACCAACTGAGATTCAAATCAGATAATTTTAAACTATTTAATTACTGCTGATCAATCTACAATAAATGGTACCATCATGTTAATAATTATAATAATAAATGAATACTGATTATACCAAATAATAATTTTCTTAATTTTAAGTTAACTTTAATATTGGTTAAAATTCAGGATTTCCATAATAAACACTGTAATATAATATGAAAATGTATATAATATTATGTACATAAAGAGTTATAATTGGAGTTATGTATAACTGACATATTTAAAATTGTGAATTGTTTAAACTGCTTGAAATTTAAAAAAAAAATGTTTTATAATATTTAGGTATAACAGATATCTATTTAAAATGTAACATTAATTTTTCATAAACTGTATAATTTTAAAATATTTTATTGAGCATATTAGATTATTGTATGAATTTATGAATATATTAAGAAACATGTAGGTACATAGCAAAGATGATAAAAACATGATTACACATTTCAATAAGGCACATTTGAGAATAAATAAGAAACGGATTCGCCATTGTGTGTCCGCCGAACAGCCTCAGCAAACATCATTGATACATCTATACACTATAAAATAAACATATATAATATTAAAAAAGTCAGTCTTTAGTCAAGGTGAAAACTTTTTACTATATTAATTTATAAGCTTGTAGTTTTTATATTATAACATTTTGTTTAGAAATAATCTTTATTAAAAATAAAATTGTGTGGGTCAAGGTTACAACAAATAAAATGGAAAAAATTAAGTTGTAATGTCATTAAGTAACAAACTGTATCATTCTAAAATAAAACTAAAAGGCAATCAAGCTTGAAAAAAATTCAAATTCTGGGTACAGGGGTGCATTCCAACAATTTCCATTGCTTGGAAAGAACATTTTTTTGCTGGGTCTATAAAAAATATTACTTTTACAAGTGTAAGCACCAATTGATAACCTTTCCCCCCGGGGACGGATTTAAGGACACTGTGAACTATGCGACCGCATAGGGCAGCACATTTTTTATACGCAGCAAAATGTTGTACAGAAGTGATTTTTTTAGGATAAGTGCGGCAAATTTTTATGGAAGGCATAGGGGCAGCAAAATGTTAAATCTGCGCCTGCTTTTCCCTAGAGAAGGCCTTATCAGTAAACACACTACATGTGACTGTTAAATATAATAAGATTCAACTTTTTTCAAAACCCCCACTACACTATTTATTTCCAAAAATATTTTATGTTGAATTGTTATAAATAAAGACGAAATCCAAAATAAATTAAAATATGCTTACACGAATTTTAGGACATTCTTTCATATGGCCATCTTGTGGAATGGTATTGGTAACTACAACAGCTTCAAAGCATGCATTATTAATACGAGATATAGCAGGTCCAGAGAATATACCATGAGTTAAAATTGCATACACTTTAGTAGCCCCTGCTTCAGTTAACCTAAAAAAAAAGTATTAACAACTTGTAAAATAGATAATTGCTAAATTAAGTTTTTACTTTTCTGCAGCATGACATATTGTGCCGCAAGTGTCTGCCATATCATCAACCAAGATGGCAATGCGTTCTTTAACATCTCCCACTAGAACCATTGATGCCACTTCGTTAGCTTTCTTCCTCTCTTTATGAATAAGAGCAAACTCAACATTTAGACGATCAGCAATTGATGTGACCCTAGACAAATATTAGAATTTTTATATATACATTGGTTATATTTGCTAATTTGAGTTATTATTGTACCTTTTAGCACCACCAGCATCTGGGGACACTATAATGCTGTTTCTCCACTCAGGTATGTTTTCTTTTATCCACTTGAGTACAGCTGGTTCAGCAAATAAATTATCAACAGGGATATCGAAGAAACCTTGTATTTGAGAAGCATGGAGGTCCATAGTTATTATATGATCAGCACCAGCTACTGACAGCATGTTGGCCACTAATTTAGCTGATATTGGTGCTCTACTCTATAATGTTACATAAAAAAATAACATTAATACAATCATATAGTACAATAAAATAATATATTATATGAATATTTAAGTGATTAAAAGTATTATTGTATTATATGGGTATATGTTGTTTTTGCCTATACCAAAAGCCACCCATTCACCGATAAGCAAGTCATATGTTAAGAGTTTAGTAGCTTGGTAAATCAGTGAATTCATGGAAGTTTCAGATAATTTATTACAAATTAAAATATTATTATCAACTTAATCCATCCTTTCCTTAGCAAAATTTTTTATAAAAATTAAATTAAATTGTCCACTGATAAACCAACCACTATGTAAAACTGAGATAACTACTAGCTTGATAATTATTGATTAAATAGAATCATGCACCAGTAATTAATTTTTATTAACAATTCTAAACATATTTTTTTCTAATTATGAATTTATTTAATAGTTGAATAATAGTAGCAAAATACAAATCATCAAAAAGTTTCTCTGTTTATTGGAACTGATAAGAACTGACTCAAAAATAAAATGTTGGCCTTTTAGTATCAATAATTTTATTAGTTATGAAGAATAACAAAAAATGACATACAATTAGATATTACATTTTACATGAATAAAAATTTAAATGCAACTCTATTAAAATAATACTGAACCTATAATTTGTTTCTATCATTTAATTCTTTGAAACCAAGATAAACACAATATATAATATTCTATGCAATGTTTTCTACAGTTTTAAGTTTGAAACAATTTACTAGATAAGTTAGATTTAATGATATTGATACCATACTAATGTAATAAAAGTATAAGATATTCTAGTATTAAATTAAAAAAATTATAGGTAATCAAGATACATCAATTAAAAATTAGGAAATTACAAATATATGTTAAAGTAAAAAGTAATTAATGATATTCAAACAACAAACATGCAAACATAAAGAAATGTTAAAGAAACTTTTGTTTCAACTCCTAAAAAACATTTTTTTAGCACCTGATTGCCGATCACAAAATCTCGAAATAATTCCTGTAAAAATAAAGCAAACAAAAAATATGAATTGGATGGCTAATTCATTTCTTGAAACCAAACAACTGTAATGTTAAATTATAGCAATAAAAATAGGTAACATATAAATTGTGTTAGTTAACGCTACCATTTCAGTCAATATAATAATTAGTTATTTAGACTTAAATATCATATGTCCAACATGGTTTCTAATATAATTTTATAATTTTTTTAAAATATAAATGAAACATATAACAGTTATTACTAAAGCAAATATCAATTTATTTCACATAAATATTATTTAATTGTTTTCTAAATGTCCACTTATAAAGCAGATTATTTTATTAAGTGCTATTTGTTGTATAAACATATTATATATACGTCATACATGTTTGTGTTATCTAAATGTAGTTTAAATAACTTAAGTATAAAAAAGATATAATTAACTATAATACATGCAATCGAATAATTTCATCATATATTTTAATTCAATGACATTTATAATACATAGTACGTACAATTAATTACACTAGCACTTATTTTAAATGAAAAATTAACAATAATTATTTTACCAAGTATAATATTATGTTAAATGCTTAACACATAATTTGGACAATTATTGATAATACCAATAAGTACTTGTATCTTTAATGTAGTTAAAATATAAAAACAGGTAATTAATTAAATTACATATTAAATATGAAACCTTAAAATAAAAAAAAATATGTGCTAGGTACTCATGCCAAAAAAATAAAGTAGTATTTATCTTAACTAAAAATAAAGTTTTTTTAAGATAATTTCAAAAGGAAATTTAGTAGGTAGTAATATGTTAATATTATATTATTCACACATGCGGCTCTAATAAGCTTTTACAAATATCACTAACTTTTCTTTAAATGATTTATCCATGAATGTATTATTTATAAATAAAGCATAATATGAAACGATAAGCTTTAGAGTAGGTAGGTACCTATATAGTTTAAAATAAAAAAAAATATTTCAGTGTGAAGCATTAATGGTAACATGATGGTTACTTTTGGCAACTATCCTAATTTTATCACCTATATATAAATAATAAGCCTGTATTAAATTAATCGCAACACTACGTGACATCCAATACTTTTCATTGTAATCATACAACAAATTATAACTGCGTGAAATTAACAAGTGATATTCAACATAAGAGAATAGGGGCTTTAATGGCACAACTGTCTACAATAGTAATTCAGTGATATAAAGAATCAATGATTGACACATTGAAAACTGACATTTCAAAACACACAATACCCAACAAGACGCATATTTTTGTAAATCCCATAAAATAATGTATGAATTTAGTTAAAATGCCCAGGTAAGTATATTTAATAATGTTTCATTGAATAAAACTATACCCGAAACTTCCATTCATTGCACTTGACGGTTGCCCTTGATCTATTATTGTCATTCTCGGGGATGTCGCCATTCTTTTGTTTACAGCATGAACAGCGAAAAATGATTAATAAGTAAGGTACGGATTAGAGTAATATCCATCATGCAAGTAATTAAAGGAAAAAAAATTAATTGCCATGTGAACATTATGAAAAATATTTTTTTTATTTTAATATGTGCACATAAGAAAAGATTCAAATTTATTATAATAATAAAAGAATGAACTACCTAAATAACTATGAATATTTTTTTTTTTTTAAGGTACTTATGAAAAGTATAAACAAATTTAAAACTAAAAGGTACTTTGCCTAGCTTATAAGGTATATTATATTGTTTTAATAAGGGTGCAGGTATATTTTAATGTCAAACAAAATATAAAAGAAAAAGAAAAACCTTTAATACTAGAAGCATTTTATTTAATCGTCTATGATAAATTAAAATAACCCATTCATTTGAAATCCAATCATCGTGAAGAAATGGTAGGTATGTATATTTTCTTCCATATAAACATTCAAGCTTTTAATTATTGAGACTGATTTAATTATTAAACAACAATTAAATAATAAATTATTTTATAATATTGCATATATTCTTTCTTCAACATTATAATATATTCTACCTTTTCATTTTTAGCTATCTTTTAATTACTTTACACAACAAAATAAAATATATTAATATTTTACATTTTACCAAATACCTACAAGTGATATTTGTTAGTTAAGATAAAAATAATTTAAAGAAAGAAAATGTAGAATTGCATGGTTTGAATAGTTATTTTTTTTTAGTAAATAATAATATGTACTAATGTAAAATGAAAATGTAATAGTTACTACAATATTCTAATTGATAAATGATACTATGGTTTAGAAATTAAATTAATTAAATTAAAAAACTTACCTTATCCTTTTTATCTTGCCTAGCATATGGAAAACATGGTATGACAGCAGTAACACGTGAAGCAGATGCTATTTTACAAGCATTTATCATGATCAATAGTTCCATCAAGTTATCATTGACCTCACCACTACCACTTTGTATAATATACACATCTTCCCCTCTGACTGATTCTCCAATTTCAACACTAAAATATATATAAAAAAAATGTTAAGGACTATGAACAGATACATGGAAATTACTAAAATAACAAGCATGAAAAAGAAAACTGTCATCATATATTTATAAATTACCTACGTATTTGAGTAAAGTATATTAAAATAAAAACTTAATGAATAGGTATATTTATCAATCATTATTTTAATTTATAGATTAACATATTATTTTCTACTTTTTTTTGTTGATTTTAGAATGGAAAAGTGGAGTTTTGTTTGAAAAACCTTATATATATAGCATTGACTCTTCAGTTGAAAAAGAATACTATACATTAACCAATGTACCCAGGTACTCAGAAGCGTACGTAAGATTTTAGTTTGGTTAGAGTTTTACCCATAGACCTATAAGCTAATGGACAGCGCACAGAGATAAACCACCAGATGAGATTGCTGAGAGAGAAAAAGAGAGGTTTTGGGCCGTTATGTGTGCTAAAACATATAGCCCAAAACATGTTTTTTCTCTCATATGATCATAATATGTTATCGTTTCGAGTTTTCCCTCTCAGCCTTGAATTAACCAAAAGTTGGGCGGTGTGGGAAGTGCTGTCCATTAGTTTATAGGGCTATGGTTTACCTATGATTAATCACAGACCTATGGGGGAGGGTGTTATCACATTTATACTATTTTTTGCTACAGTTTTTATATAATTGGCTAAAACAAATTATAGAGTTGGTTTCAATAATTAGTCTACATTTAGAGCATTAGTTAAACCAGTTCATCTATAAGGCCTCTCCAAGTCTCAATAAATGTGGTAATAACCGATGATGATACGATTGCAGACGTTTGGCTATGTTCTTAGTCAGCCAAAAAAATATAAAACTGATGATCTGATTATAATGTTATTGCTGTTTTACAAATTATTTTATTATTTTAATCTTTCAAAAATGAACTACGATCTAACAATTAATCTACTGTGTATTGATTATGGTGAGGATTTTTTTGTAGAAGCAATACATTTGAGGGGTAGAACCCTTCCCCTGCATGTACTGAATGTACTCAAAGTGAAACAATAGTTCTTCTAAATTAATGAAAGCTTACTAATTGACTCTAATGCATTGGGTTGATGTGACAACATAGGTATTATGTTGTTGCTATGGCAATAGTCAATAGAGAACAGGAGATATTGATAAAACAATAAAAGCAATTGTTAAAACGATATAATATACAGTACCTAACAAAGGATTATATTATTATATCATTGACTTTAATGGTACTTATTCCTTAATAGGTAATGTTCAAGAAAATTCGAGGGAAAATTATTATTGTTAACACACCCGAATTGACGATCAACAGGTAGTTGAAACAGAAAAAGTGTATTAATCTCTAATGTTTACTGAATTTTTGGGCCACCAAACGTCCTAGAGTAATTCGTTTCGGTAACAGATAACACCTGTACATATATTCCACCGGCCATAAATTATGTTGGTGGATGTCTGGCACGTGTACCGGAAGCGATCTAACGCCTATTGCCTATGTCAGGAGTTGAGCGCGTAACGAAGATGCACATGCATGGATAACATTTGAACCGAGAAACGCGCGCTAACACGTGTTTCCGCAAGACAAAACCATTTTCCTAACCTACAAAAAACCGAAAAGGAAAACTTATACAGAATTTCCATCTCGCTACAACACTACTTCTACGAGGAGTGTAGTTGGACCAAAATATGTCTCCATGAAAACTTATCAGTGTACGCGACACGACCTAGACAATAGAAACCGGTGCGGTCTGAGCAGTGTCCTCGGTGACGTAAAAACTACGGACGGGAAAAATCGACAAATAAATAAAACCAGTTTCCGTGGTATTTACAAAATATATGTTTTACCAACGCGTGGGCGGTGGTTCTGTCATTTTTTAACTTGAGATACAAATGGTAATAACTTATAATAATATGACGAGCCAAAGAAGAATTATAATGAAATATTGGATTAGACACAGTCGCATTGGGGGGTAGCAGTTAGACCGGTCGGCGGCGCGCTTTCAGTTACCAATTACCATGTTTCGAGGTTGCTAAACTTCTTGGTGACCACCTTGCCGACGTCGATTCCCAACCGGTCAACGATCCGCTGTGCTAAGTCCGGGTGGGACGTGCCGCTGAACACCTTGATGTTTGGCATTCTGTTGTTGGCGACGTTCGAGCGGGTCGAGACCAAATTGGATTTAACTAGACACCGGGCGCGAATGGGTTCGGATGATAACAAAGGCATACTACCACGGCGATCATCGTAGCACTATACGAACGCCCGCCTACCGGCTGCCTGCCGCACGTACCCCACCGAAAGATCGTCGCTGTCGTCGGTGGCGGCGACCGTCCGTACTACCATGTACTACGCGTCGAGCGGCAAGCCCCGGTAGTCCGGACGGCGTCTAGCTAAACCCTTGGGGCATCCGCAGGGGAACCACGTGCACGGTATAAAAATATATGCATATAATGTTTGACGTGATGTAGTGCGCTCATCCATCTAGTGGTTTACAACTCGGTAATACCATTGAATATAATGTAGTATATACCTAATGCCTAATACATATTTATACTTATAAGTTATATTATACCTATTATTTATATTTATAGTTTATACCTATCATATATATCATATTCACATCAGTTGCGCAACCAGGATTTGTCTAAAAGGATGTTCCAAACATGACACTTTATTTCATGGCACAACTAAATATAAAATTTAAAATAAACATATCATTTAGTAGAAATTTCAAACCGTGATATTCAAACATCATGATTCATGAATATTAAAAAAAAAACCATTGCTAATGATTAAACGATACTTGTACGGTTACTTGTACTTTGTTGTCGCACTGCCACCGAGCTGTACCTATACAATTTATTAATTGCAGAATACAAATCCCTAGAATACCATATATTTCTCACACATCATTTTTAATGAAAGTTATTGGACTAATATTTTTAAAGCGTTTACAAAATTATTAATATTTAATTACACATTATTATGACTTAATGAATATAATTTTAAAATATTATAAAATATTGTATAAGTAATTATTAAAAATTAAAAGTCAAGTATTAAAGATTCATTAAATTAAAAAACAAAGCTATTCCTGAATTTTCAAAATAAACATTGGTTAAAATTTAATAGTTATTAGAAAGTATTTTTAAAAGTTTTATCAGATACATTTTATAAAAGATAAAAAAAGGAAAAATACAATACAATTATTATCTACTAATAGTTATCCCTTTGTAGAAAACATGCCATAATATTATATAGAATATTTCAAATGGTCGGTACCAAAGTTTAAAAAAGTAAAATAAAAATTAAACTATTATATAACAGTAAGTTAATGAATAATCAATATTATTTGTAGTTCTCATAAAATTATCGTCAACATTTTAGGAAACTATATTTTTCTTATGGTCGGGGACCGGGGTCATCCTCAGGCGATTATTTATCCTCCAGGGATTTTAAATCTGATTAGTGAATAATGATTACCAAAATGTATTACCACGTAATGTATTACTTCAGCAGTCTATAATCTAAAATATAAAATATCGATATTCTTGAATTCCTGATTGATATTTCTCAGTACCTATATATAATATGTATAATATTTTACGTGTAGTCATGTACCTAGGTTATTCTACTATGTGAATATGCGATATATGTATGGAAAAATAGTAAATACTGTAACTCTAAAACAAATGACCGTAGATACATGCAATTTTGACTGAATGTTTATATTAGCGTTTTATATACACTATAACATTATCAAAATATTTTTACTTGTTCTGAGCTGTTTACGGAAATTTTTATTTTCCAATTTTAGATTCTGAGTGAAACGATGAATGTATTGATTTTACAATAATGTGTGTTTTTTTATTATTTTATTTTTTTATTTTTTTTTGTGTCTGTGTACACGATAAGTAGTCGAAATAATGCTTCGATTTTCAACTTCAGTATCTTGTTCGATTGGAAAGTGAATATTGTTGGTGCATTGGGGAGGTCAAAAATTAAATTTCCCAGTTGTTTTCAAAAGCGCCGGGAAAAACAAAAGAAAAATTAAGGAAAAACGGGAATTTTTACGCAAAATCTGTTTTCGAGAAAATCGATTTTGGTAATGGTGTAACTTTAAAACAAATGACCGTAGATACATGAAATTTTCAGTGGATTTTATATTTGCATTTTCTATACACGATAACATTTTCAAAATATTTTGATTTATTTTGAACTGCTTAGGGACTTTTTAAGTTGCCAATTTTATTAGTTTTTTTTTTTTATGAATATCAATAAAAATTTATTTGTTGAGTAAAAATACTTGAAAATTTAATACAAGGCTCCTACTATATTGTTTCAAAGACAGATGAAAAATATTAAAAATCGTTAGTCGCAGTTTTTTTTTTTAAGCATTTAAAGTTCAAAAAATTACAAAATATGGAAAAATCACGAAAATTTGCAAATTATTTCGAGTTAGAAATTCATAAAAATTTTTCTTTTGAAATCTAAGATATGAAAATGTAATACAAGATTCCTTATAAGATTTCCTACATTTATCAAAAAAAAAATTCTTTAAGAAAGTCAAATTAAATTTTTATGAGCGTTTGAAATTCAAATTTTTACAACATTGGATATTCACTCGATTTCTCATGTGGTGATTTCCTTATTTTGTTGTAATTTAAAAACGAATTACTGTAGATACATGAAAATTCCACTGAATGTTTATATTAGCATTTCCTATATACCATACAATTTTGAAAATATTTTGACTCTTTTTGAGCCGTTTACGGACATTTTCAGTTTTAAATTTTTTTAGTTTTTTTTTTCTATAAATATCAATAAAGTTTTATCTGTTGGGCCAAAATGTGTAAAAAATTAATACAAGGCTCCTGATATATTGTTACAACAGTATTCTACAGCTTTCCACTGGCAAACTATTTTCAACATTTTCTGTGTAAAATTGTCTTATAGAAAGAAAGCCTTCCATCACCTTATCCACAGGCAAAAGTGGTAATGCCATTAGCATATGTACGATGTCATATGCATTTCGATGCCCGGTACATATTTCTATCATTCCTGTAGGCTGTAATACATTTAAGATTATTTAATATATACTTATTGAACCATCAAAAATATTTATAAGCTTACCAAATTCTCCAACTTTTCTCCACAGAGCTTGAGAGCTATGGAACCAACAACCCCTTATCGTAACGTTATTGAAAATTGCTTTCAATGACACCATTGCAGCTCTCTCAAAATCTACAATAATTGTTTGTAGTGTCCACTGTGGCTCAATTTCTAATAGCCATTTAAATAAGGCATTGTAAGCCCTCGCTGTCTTTCTTGACATCAAAGCAAATGCAATTGGGAATCCCTAAAATACAAACATTTTATAATTTATAAAATGTATACACAGATAGATACCTAAGGTTTAAGGTAAGCTGCAATGATTATCACATTATAATATTTGTATACATGAGTATAATTATTTTTAAGTATAACTCACGGTGTTGAATGTTATACCCATTATAACATATAGCTGTTGACACTCCCGGTTAAATGATGGAGCAGCAGCAAATGTACCATCCATCAAAAACGTTGATCCAGTCCTCAGTATACTGAAAAAGAAAACAAATAGGTTTTATACAGTTATTATAATTTATTTACATAGATACCTATCAAGATAATTCATTTTATAATTACATACTACATAGTATTTACTTTTTAATTTCTGGTAATACAAACAACATTGTAGTCCCTTCTTCGGGGTCAGTGCCTATTTTTCCCATATAAATAGGTACATTATCCATCACTGGAAGATGAACATAGTCTCCAGTCAATTGGTAATGGAAATCGGTCATGGTTTGTGGTGATGTTGGTTGATTAGATTTTCTATGCCTTTGCATGGTTCGCCGATGAGATACAAATGGACCAACATTTTTATTAATGAACTCAGGCATAGAACTTGTCTAAGATATTAATAATATAGTATAAATGATTTAATATTTATTTTGAATACAATGTAGATATATACCTATCAGAATATCACAACTACAATACCTCTGAATAATTCTGATTATTAAATCGATTTCGATTTACTTACTCTATTCCCAATAATTGTTGTTTGGGTTTTTAGTTTTTACATTCGTATATTAAGGGGCCTCGCAATGGCATTGATTTAAGGAGAATCATTTAGGCAATTTCTAATCTCGTATAATATATATATACGTCAAATGCTCTACATGTGTACCATACACGGATATGATATATTATTATTATTGTTATCGTCCGACCAGCGTGTCGCCAAAACTACCGTTGCGCCATCGACGCGGTGTGGCAGAACGAATATATAAAGATTTAAAAGTTTTGAATACGATATGGTGTCGAGCGAAACCGACAAATCTTATAGCGAACGGTAAAAATATACCAATCGGAACGTGAGTATCGCGTTATACGTATTAAATTTAAATACGACCTATTTATTTCTTTTCCGTTTTTTTCTCCGTATAAAATGTATATCCTAAACGGTTATTTCCATTAGACGTCTCTAGTTGTAATTTTAAATTTATGTCCTTTTCGCAACGTGATTGCGTATAGTAGTACGACTGTATAATATGTATAATATAATATAATGAATAATGATATTATACAAAAAGATCGGCGACAATAAATCGCACTCGATGTCGTCATTATTTAAAAAACAACAATAACAATACAACAACGATGCGACGTATTTTTAGACGCTTATTTTACCCGAAAAATAACTCGAGGAATATATTTTATGTATAGCTGCAGCCTGCAGGTACCTCCAAGTGTAAAATATGTATAACATATTATTAGGTATATACCTTAAGACCTGTAATTTTAAATGATGATTAAAATACAAGCGTAGGAGCTTACGTTATCTGTACATATAAAATCCAAATACCACTTAGTCACTGATCGCTGTACCTCAAAAACTACGTAAAGTACGAACTTGAAATTTGGAATAGAGATTCTTCTCATATTTTCACAGTGAAATAAGAAAGGATTTTCCGAAATTCGCATTTTAAACAGGTTCTCAAACAGGGACATTAAGGTTCACGATGGAAATTGGAAATTTTATTTTTATTTATTAATATAGTTGCCATTGGTTACAGTCAACAGTAGAAATTAGTGTTTATTTATTATTGGTTTTGTTCATCGGATCTTAGTACGGTTAGGTTAGGATAGGATTTTGTATGAATTGATCATATTAATCTACCGTAGGTGGACTTAAGTAAAAACGACAAACTTAGTATAACTTTGATACTTCAGAGTTAAATTTTAAAGTTACGTACAAACAGCAAGGGGTCTACCGCAGGTAAATTGCCTACCTGTTAATGTACTGCTGCGAAGCAGAATTATTATTCCGGGTAACGAAAAAGTTGAGATAAATTTTGAACACCATACACCGATATTAAATAACGAATTGAACAAAGGTTGAGTCATATAGAGTTGATACATTTAACGGGCAACGAAGTGCACAGGATCAGCTAGTATATTTATAATTTTTAAATATTATATACCTACATTCGTCCGAGCTTCAATGCTGAGTCTGATATATATAACTAATATATGCATGCCGAAAACGACCACTTTCAGATAGTACCTGAAGCCAAGTGCGGGTTCACACTACACTGTGAAGTGTAAAATAATCACAGTTACCACCTGCACAGTTACCAAACGATACTGCAAAGTTGAATGTATTCAATTTTTGACCGTGTGGTTACATTTATGTGCGGAAAAGTGATAGCTAAAATAAAATAATATAATATGTTATCATCAGATACAATATTAATATCATTAGTATTGCATTTTGGTATAAACGTTCAAATACAAAATCACTCGACAAGGTGTAGTGTGAACCCGGCTTGAGAGGCCATGAACGACTGCTGATCCTCCGTGATATATATGCTCGTGGTCGGTACCAAAGAAATCTGTACTTCTACGTATTTCAAAATTGTGTAGGACACACATCGTTTGAAATCGATAATTCAAACCGTTGACTCTAATAACCGCACATTTTTGTTCGACAAATCTGGACCAATCTGCCCACTTTAAGCAGGTTAAGACGGCACACTTTTTAACAGTGCCGTATCCAAACATCACCTCGGCGCAAGGATGTCTGAGATATAAACTATAATAATATAACCTTTATAATTTTGTTGTTTTATGGTTTTCTGCGTACACAATACACTGCAGCGAGACACGAGTGTTCTATATATTGATCGAGAAAGTATAGTATTATAGTAAACTGCAGTTCTTGTTCTGTGGTAGTTCCTAAATATAGTAACTATATAGTATAGACATTTGGGTGACTTAAGTTGTGCACCTATTCAGTGAGCTTTTAACCATTGTTAATTGCTAGGTATAGTTTAATACTTGGCCTGCATTAGCGTATAATATTGTTATTAAGCAGTACCTAGGTAATTTAAATGGTTGCTATTGGTGTGTTATATGTATAATAACAAATACTTGGCAACATAATAATATAAATATATTATACCTGCATTAGCATTTAGTACTCATTTTCCAATTATCGTCATTGAGTTCAGACCTGCAGTAAAGTCCGTTTCTATTGATTAATATCTACGTGTCAACTAAAGATTATACGAACTATAGTAAATACTCTATACACAAATAACTACAAGTAAGGTACATTAATTATTTTATGTGACAGTTATATTGTAATTGTATGGATAATTATATAGAATTAGTACTTTTTAGAATAATCATAATTGTACTAAGTAGTAAATAGTAGGTATTTCATGATTACAATTTATAATATAATATTACCGAAAAAATAATCTTGAGTCCGAAACTCCGAACTAGGTATGTCTGCAGACCATATATTTTATCGATGAGCATTCTTGATTTTTTTGTACTTGGTTTACTAAATAACAATTAGATAAATTGGACTTGAAAATACCTAATACTTGGAAGAATGAAACAAAATTTTGATTTTATTTAAAAAAAATTGTTACAATATTATTCATATAGTTCAACACAAATTTCTATTCTTCAACAGTTCAACACTGTTTAAAATGTATCTATTAGTTTCGTATTAAGTTATATGGATTTCCAATTCAATGTAATATAATGTATGAAAAATGTAATTTCTTTAATGGTAATATTGTAATGATTATTATAATAATAATACAAATCTGAGCCATTATGAAAAATTAAGTTAGGACTATAATAATACGTAAACAAAGTGGTAAATAATTAAATTTTTGATTTAACATATTATTTGTGTTTTATTACAATCAGTTTCTAAATAAAATGTTGTATTCATTTATTATTATTATTAAATTTTAATCTGTTTCTTTCTTATAATTTTATTTATTTTATTTTCAGTTTTTTGTTTGCACTGAAGACTGAAGTTCATAAGATTGAAAAAAAAGTAATTATGGAACAAAAAAATAACTCTGATGTAAGTATTCAATGTCATACACAATGTTACACATTTATAAAATTTTAATACTTCTTTTATATATAATTTTCATAATATGTTATAAATAAGTTAAATTGTTCATTATTACATAATATTTAATCCAATATTCTAACCTGACGAAAACAATAATCAGCACCACAATTAAACGGTAGGACTATAGACAAGATACCTATGTGTCATTAGATTGCTATTTTCAACTAAATTCAGCCTGGATGAACATAAGCATATAGTGTATTAATTTACACAATTAGAGATAGAATAGTTTTTATTTATTATTCATGCAATATTAAGTGTTATTTAGTCTCTATATATTTATACATTTTAACCATCAATTTTTTTAATTTGTATTATTTTAGCATGTGTTAAATACTGTAAGATCGATTGTTTACCATTTAAATGATGTCAACTGGGTTAAGATGACACAAAAAATTATGGCTTTGCCAATAAATAATGTTAAACTACTCGATGACATAACAAATATAATATTTGATCGAGTATGTATATTGTGTATAAAATTAATATTGATTATAGTTCTAACTTATAATTGAACTTGTATAATATTATCATTGCGTTTTATTTTATCTATTGCATTATCGTTATATCTATCTAGGCTTTAAAAAGACAAAATTATACACACATATACGCTCAGATGTGTGCACGTTTGATCAATGACTCCAAGTTTAATAATCTTATTGCTACCGGTACTGAAATAACATTTCAAAAAGTGTTATTAAAAAAGGTGGGTAAGTGGATGTCGCTCTGCTGTACTGTAGGTTACAAGTGGGTCATGGAGTATGGACCATGGTATAATGGATGGTATTAAATTTGAATTCAATGATATAATATCATTGTATAAGAAAAACGATTCTGAGTGGAGACGGTATGTCAATCTAGGTATAAGACATATACTTATCGATGGTATTAAAAAAAAATTGACCTATAATAGATACATATAATAAATTCCAAATTAATCATATCACAATATCCATTAGGTATCATATATCCCCGAATACTATTTTTAAATTACAACGAAAAACCAAGATCGTTAATATTGATTTTAATATGTAATTTCGTCCAAATTTGGATTTAAAATGTCTGTAAAAATTAACTGTGTTCATATATTTTTTAGATTTTTTGGTTACAGTATGAATTATTTAAGAGAATCTTTGTTTTAAATTTTCAACTCTTAGTTATAAAAACTGAACATTTTATAATTTTTTAATTCCAACGATTGATAATTTTCGATATTTTGATAAATTTTGTCAAAATTCCAACTTTAAATGCTTATAAAAAAAATTGTGCCTATGTATTTTTAATATTTTTCAACTGTTATTGTAACAATATATCAGGAGCCTTGTATTAAATTTTTACACTTTTTGGCCCAACAGATAAAACTTTATTGATATTTATAGAAAAAAAAACTAAAAAAAATTGAAAGCTGTAAATGTCCATAAACAGCTCAAAAAGAGTCAAAATATTTTCAAAATTGTATGGTGTATAGGAAATGCTAATATAAACATTCAGTGAAATTTTCATGTATCAACAGTTATTCGTTTTTGAATTACAACAAAATAAGAAAATCGCCACATGAGAAATCGAGTGAATATCCAATGTTGTAAAAATTTGAATTTCAAACGCTCATAAAAATTTAATTTGACTTTCCGGTAGAGATTTTTTTATTGATAAAGGTAGACAATCTTATGAGTAATCTTGTATTAGATTTTCAAATCTTAGATTTAAAAAGAAAAATTTTTACGAATTCTTAACTCAAAATAATTTGCTAATTTTCGTGATTTTTCCATATTTTGTCAATTTTTGAACTTTAAATGCTTATAAAAAAAAATTGTGACTAAGGATTTTTAATATTTTTCATCTGCCTTTGAAACAATATGTTAGGAGCCTTCTATTAAATTTTCAAGCTTTCGCAACCAACAAATAAAATTTTATTGATATTTCTAGAAAAAAAACTAAAAAAAAACTAAAAATGAAAATGTCCCTAAACAGTTCAAAATAAATCAAAATATTTTGAAAATGTTATCGTGTATAGAAAATGCAAATATAAACAACCAGTGAAAATTTCATGTATATACGTTCATTTGTTTTAGAGTTACACCAATAACCAAAATCGATTTTTTGGAAAATCAATTTTGCGTAAAAATTCCCGTTTTTCCTTAATTTTTATGTTGTTTTTTCCCGGCGCTTGTGAAAACTACTGGGAAATTTAAATTTTGACCTCCCCAATGCACCAACGATATTCACTTTCCAATCAAACAAGATACTGAAGTCGAAAATCGAAGCATTATTTCGACTACTTATCGTGTACACAGATACAAAAAAAATAAAAAAATAAAAAAATAAAAAAATAAAAAAATAAAAAAACACACATCATTGTAAAATCAATACATTCATCGTTTCACTCAGAATCTAAAAATGTCACGATGTTTTTTATTCAAACTATCAAGAAGAATTGAATAAATTAAAAGATACAATGAAAAATGTTAATATGGTAAATATAGTTATGTTGTCATTATATTTTGTTATGACTTATGATTATTATCATCTATGGTTCTCAACATATTATTAAAATACCTTTATACGTTTTATTTTCATTCCTAAATCCTGTATGAAATTATATGTAATTCTGAATTCAAAATAAGTTTACTAATTTTTAGAAGTTGGTTCAATAATACTTATACAAACTATTATTTGTTTACCAGGTACCGAAGAAGTGTTTATCCGGCGTTTTAAATAATTTTTTATTCGATTTCCAGAAAAGATCCATATGCAATTGCAGGTGTGTTTTGAATTAATATTATTTAATTAACACTTTCGTTATTTTTATTTATGTAAATTATTACTTTTGAAAGATTTATTGGCGTACTGTTTAAAAACGGCGCGTTCCCAGAAAAGTATATACTGAAGTGCATTGGAGATTTAGGTAAAGAGAAGAATGACAACAACTATGAACTACAAATGCACTGTTTGTGTATAATATTACAATCAGTTGGGCTAATATTATCAAAAGTAACAACAAAAAATTGCTACGAAGAAATTGTTTAATATAAATAGTTTTTTTTTCCAGACGTCATATGATTTGAACAAAAAAATCAATAAACTTGTATCGTCTATGGAAAACCATGGGATGTCATCGACATTAAAATGTTTGATAAAGAAACTAAAAATAATGAATTCCAAGGGTTGGATGGATGAGGGTAATTGTTTTTAGTTTTAAAATAGTTTAAAAATCTACTGCTGTATAAGTGTTGTGTGTACCACATTATTGAGTCACTGTAATGGATATGTTAGCATTTTTTTTTTGTATAATAACTATATGATAAATCATTGCTTATGAAAAACGATTTTGAGAAGAGACGGACTTGTTTTTTTAGTAACTTGTAAGTTGTATGGGTATTTTAATATAGATATTTATATTGTTATTTCGTAATTAATTTTTCTATTAGTCATATTATGGGTAGGTTTGTTGTTAAAACAAATTGTATATAATAATATTATATTATTATTTCTTGTAATTTTTGCAGTTGTTATTAAGAGGATGTCTGTACAGTTTTTTTTCTCTCTCTAACCCACGCTCAACATACATAATGTGTGTTTAGCAGAACCGACCTTGTGTTGTTATCTTTAGTTTTAGGGTGATTTGACCTATTATACAACAAAGTTAAGAACATGTCGGATATGTGAATTTTTAAATTGTAAAATTGTATACACTCATAACAGTCATAACCGGGGTTCGGGATTTAGAGAACCTATACATAAAAAAAAGCACTTAAATACTTCATATACCTGAGCATTCATATAAGAACTTAAAAATATTATAATAAGCAAAAAAAAGCACGACAAAAACTCAGTGCCGGCCCGATGGTTTTCGGGGCCCGGTGCAGAATTTCGCGGGGCCCCATATGGCCGATGGCTGAATATGTTAATTTATTAATTATTATACAATATACACATTTATTTTATTTTTTAGGGACTTTTTTAAATTGCCTGTGAAAATAATATTACCTATCAGTATTGTTTTTAAAATTTAGATAGAATGACTTTAATGATTCTACATCTACATATTTTTTTGTCATATAAAAATGTAAAATAATCCAAAACGTATACCTTTTCCATTAATTTAATGGAAATAGTACATTTTGGAAAATTTAATGGAAATAGTTCATTTTGGAAAACCTAATGAAATATTAAAATATACTCCAAAATGTGCTTTTTCCAAAATAAAAATATTATTAATTTCTTATTTATTGTTTCAATATGAACAAATCGTTTATAAATAAAAAAGTAATTTTGAAGACAAGGAAGATTTTTAAAATTATTTAATAATATATTATTTCTATTAAAAACGACTCAAATGTGTTTAATAATCTAGGATTATATTTTTAATTTAATTTCAAACTTAATGATTGTGAATATTATAAATTATAAATTATATTTTAGTACGTTTTGGATTAACTATTTTATTTCGCTATACCTACAATACGGGCAGTAGTACGTTTTGACATAACATAAAAAAAAAGTACGTTTTGGAATAATTTACGAAAATAGTTCGTTTTGGTATAGTTAATGATTGGTGCCTATTATTTTAAGTTTTAACATTGGCATTGGATTTGTCAGCGTTTTTTTTACTAGAATCGGTGTCTAACTCGTTTTTGCCAATTTTGGCAATAGTACGTTTTGGAGTCCACTCCTCAATCAAAGTAAGATATTAAAATATAGACATAGTACACATACTTATTCTAATTGGTATTTGTCGATAACAAACAGTTTCCTAAGAAAACAACAATGGTCGCGATATCCGTATTACTGCTACGGGGACAATATTATTATGTTTATTTATAGATAAAGTGATATTCGTAACAAGCCCGCACAAGCTCACCATGCGCGGGGCCCCGCACAAGCGCGGGGCCCGGTGCGGTCGCACCGCTTGCCCCCCCCCCCCCTAGGGCCGGCACTGCAAAAACTATATCAACACAAGTTTTTTCTATATTGTCGTTTAATTTTTTATTTTATTTACAGAGCCTGTTAAGTTTGCGGGGACAAATTACAATGCATATCGTGATTTACCACCACACATGCAAATGGTGTATAGGGTAAGATCAAAGAAAATAATGTCTGACTGGGCTTATGACGAAAGTCATGACCATCGTTTAAATGTCGTCAACAATTATAAAATTGAGGTACGTTCCAACATACCACCTAAACTGTAAAATATTTTCTGTTGTCAAGTACCTATATATAATTTCTATACTTACAGTTGATAGCGTGGTCCCGCTGATAGCCACCTCCTCGGGTTCTCCAAGCCGAGGCCCTGAATCAGTTGTATTTCTGCCTCCTTCTGTTTATACACACGACCGCGGTCATGTGCTCCGCCGACGGGACGTGTTGAGTGTTCTACTGTTGTTTAAAATTAAAATAGCTACCGCGGTGCACGACTTTCATGTGCTCCGCGACGTGTTGTAGCTGCTGTTTGTATTGTTTGTACCTAATGTTTATCTCATGTTTTCTAATGCCTAATAAATGAATCTAAAGTGTAACTAATTGTTTTAATTTCTGACACCCTTAATTTTAGTAGCTAAAACACGGTTATTAAAAACGAGTGTTTGGGCCGGAAACGAACAACAATAGACCTTGGTATCCACAATACTTCGTATCGCACTCACACCCCAAAGACCTGCGTATGATGAGTGCATACATGTATTCGCAATTCGGTCAAAGTGGACGGATTCACCGAGCAAGACTATCAAAGACTTGCTCGGAAAGGCTAGTGTGTGGTGGGTGTGTAAATGTGTGTGTACATGTGTGTGGGTGACGGGCGTGTGCTAAAATAACTACTAACAACAGAAATGTAACTCAAAAAAATGGTAACTAAAACATAACGGTATTTAAATATTGCTGTATTACAGTAAAAAAACGACAGATAAAATAATAATTAAGCACGGACCGTAACTCGTAAGCCAAAACAGTACGATACGTATAATAATATGTGGCCCTCATCCTGGCCAGACAGAATAAAATATAGGTATAGCTATACCGTCGTTTGAGCAGTAAGCTCGTAAAAACTATAATAATAATAATATGTATAAAAACTCTCAAGCTTGCTACTTGTGCCTGTTTAAATAATTTGACACAAAAACAAATATAATAATATAATATATGGCGATTCGCGCCCTTCACACAGGGCCGGACTGGGTCAAAAATGTCTACCGGGATACTAAAAAATCGGCCCACTAAGGTCTAACCTATAAAAAACAAAAAAAACATATGTTTTCATATACAATGATTGTATATTATTTTGAGAATTTGAACACTTAATATTATTATTAAAATTAAAAAAAATTAAAAATTGGTTAGTACCTACAAATATATACACTCTTGATTGAAAATATTACCACAGTTCTATAGTCACCAGAGCGCGCTTCTTGTCCTACGAAGGCCTGCATATTCATTCTGTTAAATGCAAAATGTTTTAAAACTTCAGAATTAAAATGCTAATATTTTTTAAAATTGAAGTCAGTATTTACAAAAACATTGAATCATAAAAAGTTTTTTTTTTTAATTGAGTTGGTATAATAAATTTGGAGCCTGTAATTATACATTACATTTGCATTTTATTCATTGGCAATATTTTTATCGAGTAGACATCAATTAGAAAAAAATATTATGTATAATTTAGTCACTTCTTTGGATATTTGCATCCTTCTTAAAATCTTTAAATTAAATTAAAACTATTATGATTCTACTCCTAATTCTAATAGTAGTCTGGTAGAGTGGAGTATTATTTTCTAGTGCTCATAAAAAACTAAAAACATGTTTAAAATATTTTGCATATTTTATTTTATGATTAGGTATATTATTTATATTATAATATTATTCAATAATAGTTATCTTATAAACTTCAAACTAATTTTGAAAAATTGTTTAGTTTTTTTTGTGTTTTCTTGTTTTTAGCACCTTGCTCATTTTTTTCTTTTGTAAGTGAATATCATTCTTGTTTTGACATAATGCGTTATGATATATTTGGTTAATATTTGACTGTGTATTGAGTAACTAACCTTTGTCAAAAAGTTTGTTTATATATTTCTTCAATAAATATAAATTATGTTAGAAAAATAAACAGTGAGAAATGTATATGTAGTTTTCAAATTGAAATGCAACATTAAAAACATGATCTTTTACCGGGACAGCTAGTTATATTTATTATATTTAGATATTATATTTACATTATAATCTAGTACAGTATTTCTCAATTTTTTTGTCGTGAGGCTCCCTAAATTTAATGTAAAACTGTCAAGGCCCCCTTAATCAAAATTATTAATTGTTTTTTTCTAAATTAGGTATATACTAAAATTACTTGTACTATTTCACACAGATTAATTATTAAAATGTATAGTAATTTAATATACTTTTGAAAAATATTAATGATAGTATTAAAATTTAAGTATTTATTCTTTTTCCATAAACGCTTAAAGTCAAAAAATAAAAATAAAAATAAAATAATAACATTTTTTACTAGTGTGCCTGGAAGTTCTAAGTACATTGAACCCTACAATAATCTTAAAAGAAAACATGAACACGTTAATCAATCGGAATCGGAATATTGTTCTTTAAATAAACATTTTTCATTTTTGAAATTTATTTTCTGTAGAGTACATTACCATGTTTATATTTAATATTTTTAAAAAGGAGGTGACAAAGTCCCCGTGATAAAAAACAAAATGTTCAAACCCCCCCCCCCATTGAAAATTCCTGAGTACGCCCCTGCATGGGTAGCTTCTATAACAAAAATAAAAAAATTGTTCATACGTTTCGAGGATTTCGGTGGATTGTGAACTATATGTCTATAATACTGTATGACTGTATGTAGTCTATACGGAATAGGTTTTTACTTTTTAATTTGTGGTATATTTTAACCAAAAACAATAAACACATTAAACGAACGAAACCCACCAACCTGACCATATAGCATCTTAGGCGTGAGCACGGGGGAAGCAAATGCAGCGTATACTGCCTCTCAACTTTTTTTTGGGCAGTCGCTGCTTTTATTGACTTCACTAAATCTTACTTCCATAAAATTATATTTACTCAAACCATATACAATGTACATTATGATTTATAATTAAAAACTATTTTTATATATACCTATTTTTGAAAATATGTAGAAACTTTTCAACAGCCCCCTCATCATAGAATTGTATGGACCTCCCCCAC